GGTTATTTTCTAATTTTACATTATTTAAGTTGTTTTGACTATTTGTTGCTACTTTAATGTTGGAGGAATTAGATAGTTACGAATTTATGATGGATGATTTGATTAGCGCTTGTTATTTTTTTTTTATCCCTTGTAATTTTTTTTTGAGCATTGAAATTTACGTAAACCAGATTGAGACGAAAATATTTAGATTTTATTTCACCCTTAGGATTTGGATGATAAAATATTGATTGAGATTTAGTCCTAATTTAATATTTAATTGTCTAAATTTTAGGGCATGACATCTGCCCAATTTCTAAATATTATTTTAGACAATAAAATCACATATTTTTTTTGGTCATGAAATCATTATTTTCTAAAGAGAATGAGATCCTTAAAAAGCTCCAAATATCAATAATAACTTTAAAATATCAATAATTAATGAATAAATTGCATTTTCAGATAAAAAAAATCCAATAACAAATTGCATTTTTAGACTTCTACTTGACTAAATTGCCAACTAATATGTTGGAATTTGAGATGTAATGAATAAAATTAAATTAAATTAAAATTAGCAATAGTAAAATTAAGGGGTATTTACATACAAGTCCCATTTTGTGAACTTATAATCCATTAAGTCCTAAATAAAATTATTTGCTCTTTCAAGTCCCATTAATTTTTAATAACCCAATTTATCCTTCCAAGACCTCCTCATAGCTGCCAAACATCATTGCTGTCTTCATTCTCTCTCTCTTCACAATTGCAATTTGAAGTTCTACACAACTTCAATTCGACGAATCCATGCACAAGAATCACAGTAGCCAAGCTCATGGGCAATTCATGGTTCAAGAAAGGATTCAAACAAATTGAAGTCCCATTGCCCATTCAAGACAAACACGACAACACACTTCGCGGCCTTCTAGACTTCAACGAAGCATTTGAATCCGATTCAAAAATCATAGAGAAGAAGAGAGGAGAGGCGACAACAAGTTCCATGATCATGAAGCCAACTTGCATGAATGCCTTTGATATCATCTCTCTCTCACAAGGATTTGATCTCTCGGGCTTGTTTGAGAATGACAACAATCAGAATCCAAATTTGGATCCATTTCGGATCGCCCGTGAAACCTACTCAAGTTCCACCAAATTGAACCAAGAACAGGTCAAGAAGTATGCAGATCACACCAGGGCTTCGAATTGGACCCCAAATTGCAACCTTCCAAATAAAAAAGTACACCAGATCTGAAATTGTAACCCTATGTACTCGACTACGTTGTTCTTCTGAATTCTAATTTGAAATTGAGAACATTCTCAATTTATAATATTCTCAATTTTGATCATGAAAAAAATTGAGAAATTTCTCAAAATTGATAATTATAAATTTCTTAGTTTTGATAATATTCTTAGTTTATACTAAAAAAAAATTGAGAAATTTCTTAGTTTTGATAATTATAAATTGAGAACATTTTCAGTTTTGGAATTAAAGGGCAAAATGTCTTTTTACCTATAAATGGGACTTAATGGTTCAAAAACTTTTTGACAGAACCTAAGCTACCACCAAATATGTAGTTAGGACTTTTTGGTAATTAATCCTAAAATTAATAAACAATAATTCCAATGTAACTTGAATAAAATTATTGTTTAGTAAAATTAATAGACAATAATTCTAGATATAATGAAAAATTTAGTAAAATTTTGTTCATATCTTAAATAAAATTTCAAAAAAAAAAAAAAAAGGGAGGGCAAATTACCCATAAGTCTTTTGAAAAGTGTGTATTCTATTTAATCCCAAATCCTTTTAGATAGATCCAAAAGTCCTATACCCATTTATTATCTTCTCTTTCCTTACACCTTACTTCTTATCTATATCTCTCTTTCTCTAATATCGACGACGGCGACCACGACTATAACTACGCCTTCATTTTTTTTTTCTTTTTCTTTTTCTTTCTAATCTATAGTCACCGGTAATCGGCAACCATCATTGATTGGGGTTGCAGGCAACCACCGAGCACCGACTATTTGCTTCGTGCTCACCGACGGCAAAAGAGATGAGTTTTCGATGAAGAAGATGAGTAGATCTACTCAAATCTACATCAGGATCTGAGTAGATCTACGTTAGATACGGCTAAGTCTAAACTAATAAATAATTATCAGAGAACAAGCATTTCTTTATATCTTTTTTTTTCCTTCGATCTCTCAGTTTTAATACTTTTTTTTGTACTATACATTTCTATTTTCCAGTTACAATGGAGAAAATTTTCAAGTTCTGAACAAGTTATTTTTGAGTTTTAATTATAGGGAGTGAAAACTGTACAATTTTAAAGTTAATTTTTTTGGCTTAATTGAATCATTATTTAGAATTGTAAAATTTTACAGTTTCATAACTTTTTTTAGAACTGTAAAATTTTACAGTTTTATAACATATTTTTTCAATTTTATTAATAAGGACAAATACGTAATAGAATCATATTTTGAAACTGTAACATTTTACAGTTTTAAAACTTGCTTTTCAATTTGATCAATATTAGAAATTATTTACTTAAATTTTGCAAAAATTAAAAATAACATATGTTTTTTTCATTATTGTTGTTTGTTGTTCTTAGTTTTTTTTTTTTTCTTCTTATAGTTTGTTAATATTTAGTACATTTTGCTAATTTTTTTTTTCACTTTCTCAATTTCTTCTTCTTCATTTTTCAACAATATTTTAGACGTTTCGGTGAGTTTTTAGCGATATTCTTGACATCCATAGAATATTCTAGACATTTAAACGACTTCCGGTGACATTCAGAACATTCCAGCGATACTCCGGCAAATTTCTGATGACATTCTAGTAACTTTTCCAGTGATGTTGAATATTCCGGCGAGTCTTCGATGACTGTCTGATAGAAGTTCAATGGTGATGGAATATAAGAGCGTCTTTAATTTTTTTTTTAAATAAAAAATAGGATTTTTTTTATAACAACTAAAAATAGGGTAAATTACATTGACACACCTTGAGATTTATGTTTATTACAGTTCTCCCATCATCTTTGGAAATTACATCCCCCTCCCTGAGATTTAAAGTTTCATTACAGATTGCTCCCTCCAACAATTTAATTTTTTTAAATACCAATTTTGCCCTCACTGGGTAAATTACAATGACACTCCTCACATTTTAGAAAATTATAATTCCCTCCCCAAAGTTTAAAGTAGTATTACCAATTGCCTCCTCGGTTAGTATTAGTTGAAAAAAATTTCATTGAAAACAAAAATTAATTGGAAAAAAAAATTATTTAAAAAAAGAATTTGCTAGTCAAATTTTTAAATTTCTGTTTAAAAACAACGTAAATTTATTTTTTGAATTTACATTTTTTCCTCAAATTTACAAACTGAAACAATCATTTATAAACCAAAAAAATTATCAACTAAGTTTTTATGACAGTTTTTTAAATTCTTGTAAATATAAATCAAAAACTGAAAACGAAATAGTTACCAAACAGGTCTCAGATAGTAAAAATGTTATAAAATTAACAAATAATTAAATAAGTTACCAACATAATAAATGACTTATCAAAAGATTCTTAGGCTATGTATGGTTTGATTTTAAATTTTCTTTTTAAAAATTAAAAATTAATTTGGTTAAGAAATAAAAAATAATTATCATTTTTATATAATTTTTGTCTTTCGAGTGTAATAAACATAAACCTCGGGGTGTTAGTGTAATTTTTATCTTATGCTGGTTTTTAAACAAGAAATTTAAAATTTGACCAACAAACTTTTTTTTCAAATAATTTTTTTTCTAATTAAAATTTTTTTTTCAATGCTTTTTTTTTTTAACTAAGACTAACCGAGAGGGCAATTGGTAATGTTACTTTAAACCTTGGGGAGGGGATTATAATTTTTAAAATGTAAGGGATGTCAATGCAATTTATCTAGTGAGGGCAAAATTGGTATTTAAAAAAATTAAATTGCTAGAAGGAGCAATCTGTAATGAAACATTAAAACTTAGGGAGGGGGATGTAATTTCCAAAAGGTGAGGGAGAGAACTGTAATAAATACAAATTTCAGGGGGTGTCAATGTAATTTATCCTCAAAAATATATAGGACTGATTGGTGTAAGTATTTTATTTTGGGACTAGATGTATTTTAAACTTTATGTATGAGACTTATCAGTAAGTTTCAAAAAAAAAAATGATTACTGTAGACGGATGCTTGCAGGTGTAGATGAAACCTGTAATCTATCCGCAACCAGCAACGAAAAAATAATCTAAACCGACCCTACTCTAGGCTTGAAATTGTCTATTTATATGCGATTCAGATTGAATTGAACAATTTTGACGGATCGAATAGGAGTTGCCAGCACAATAGGCATTACTGTGCGGCCTTATGGGCTTATTTCGGAATTCGTTTTGATAATCTGAACCGTTCACATTTTAGAGTACATCGAATAGAACATACCTGTAAAAAATTAAGTTAATCGGATATTATTAATCATTTCATCGATTCACATTTGTATTTATTTTAATACTTTAAATCACAAAATTATTTATTTTTAAAGATATAAATGTGAGTGGATGAAAGGGTTAACGATATCCGATTAATTTAATTTTTTACAAGTATGTTTTATACGATATACTTTAAAATATGAACGATTCGAATAATCAAAATAAATCCCAAAATAAACCTAAAAAACCACACAACAATGTGCCTGTTTGGTGCAGCTTAAAAGCTGCTTATTTCAGCTTTCATTTTAATTTAAGCTATTTTGATGTGTTTGATTTAGCTAAACAGTGTAGCTTATAGCTTTTTGTAAGTCAGAAATCAGCTTATTCTTTGAGTGGGGCAGAAGATACTTAATTTATAAATCAAAAATCAACTTATGTTCATAATTATAAGATATAAACTGTTAAAATATAAGTTATAAATACTTTTTCACAGCTCTACCAAACAGGGCCAATGGCTGTGCTGAGTGCCCAACAAACCCCCCAATCTGATCGAATAACCCTAGCCCTGGAGTTTAGCATAATTTACTCACTTGAAACGAAAGGAGCGAGGAATAAATACGAAAACTGATTTCCGTAAAAGGCCATCCACAGTAGTACACTCTAATCTAATCACAGAGAGAGAGAGAGAGAGAGAGACAGAGAGAGATATTAGGAAATGCCGGCGACTTCGACGATGATCGGAGCCCTTCTGGGATTGGGCACCCAGATGTACTCCAACGCCCTCCGCAAACTCCCTTACATGAGGCGTACTCTTCCTCTTCCTTCAATCTCCCTCCTTTCTATATCAATCTCACAAAATCTCTGTCATTTCTCTCGAATTAGATAGATTTTCTTTGCTCACATCTCTCTGTATCCAATTTTGATGTTCAGATCCGTGGGAACATGTGGTGGGTATGGGATTAGGAGTGGTGTTTGTAAACCAGCTGGTGAAATGGGACGCCAAGCTTCAGGAAGACCTCGACAAGATGCTCGACAAAGCTAAAGCCGCCAACGAGCGCCGTTACTTTGGTTAGTTAGTCTTTCAATCACACTTCATACATAAATTTCTTTTTTTTTTTTTTTTTGGGTTTCTCTTGCTGATATTGGTATTTGTGGATTGTTCTTGTTTGTGGGTTCGTATCAATTAGAAATTTTGATATGCTTTTGGTTTTTTTTTTTTTTTTGATTTCGTATATTGCTACTGCTATTTGTGGATTGTTCTTGTTTGTGGGTTCGTTGCAAGTAGGAATTTTGATATGCTTTTGGTCTATTTTGTTGTTTCACTTAACTCTTGAAGATTTTCTCTTTTGTTTCTCCATGGTTTTGTTCAATAAAAATGTTGTAAATTTCTGTGAAATTTGAACATTTTATGGGACTATTAGGACTTATTTTAGAATAAAGAGAGATTTTTTTTGTTTTAGGGCACACTTCATTTTATCCCCCGTGGTTTGGGGCGTGTGCGGATTACCTGACATTTGAATATCACCATATAACCCCTGTGTTGATGGATTGAAGTGCACAGTTAATACCGTTAACGGTAGAAGTAAAAAGACTATTTTACCCTTATATATATAGCCCTTGTTTCTCATTGAACGGTTCATTGAACTGTGCATTTGAGAAGAGTTTCAATCGCATTTCCTAAGTTCATCAATTTACACAAAATCATCACATTTCCAGGTCACAAAATCATCACATTTACAGTAGGGAAAATGTGATGATTTTGTTCTTTTTCTCTTCATTTCTTATCGTAGTAACACATCAATCTAGAGAGAGAAACAGAGAAAGAGAGAGAAAACAAAAAAGGAAGAATGGCACAAGTTAGCAAACTTTCCAGTGGAATCCAAGGCTCCCATTGCAACCCCACTTTACCCAAAACTGATAATAATCACAAACCTTTTATGGGTTATCTACTTTTTGGATCAAAGCTAAAGAAGGGTTCAAAGAATTCATTGTGTTTGAGCTATGAAAGGGCTGTGGAGAACAATTCAGCTCCACTTAGGGTTTCGGCTTCAGTTGCCACTATCGAGAAACCCTCAATTTTTTTTTATCATTTGTTTATTTGATGAATATAATTAATTGAGTGATTTGGTGAGGAATGATAAGAAATGAAGAGAAAGAGAACAAAATCAAAATCATCAAAATTTTTTTTTTTTTTGATAAAGATCTTTCTCTGTGGACTCTCTCTGTCCCTCTCTCTCTCTCTCTCTCTCTCTCTCTCTCTCTCTCCTTCCTGTATTGTCACCTTCGTCCTCATCGTCATCAATCACCTTTACCGTCACAACCTCGTCTTTCACCACTGCAGCCAGATCCTCCACCATCATCAACCTGAACCACTATTGTATCTCTCACAAGCATCCTTTCTCTCTCTCTCTCTCTCTCTCCATTGCTCCGATCTGATCCCTAGTCGATGATTCGTAGTCGTTTTCTCCTCACCTCTCTTGTTGAGTTTGGTTTTGGTTTTTAATATTCCTATGCAGATTCTTAACAAAATTAAAATCATCACATTTCTTTATCCTAAATCATCACATTTCCAGATTTGATGATGAAGATGAAGAAAATAATATGAGGGTAAACTTTGGAAATTGATGATGAAGATGAGGGCATTTTAGTCATTTAATTCGGAGGAAAAATTATATTTTCATGCCCATTTGCACATGAGGCGCGTGTTATACACAGACTGTTATGTTAGATGGAAATACTAACTGTGCACTTCAATCCATTAACCATAGTGGGCTTATGTGGTGATATTCGAATATCAGGGGGTAATCCGCACCTGTCCTAAACCACAGGGGGTTAAAGTAAAGTTTGCCCTTTATTTTATTTTATTGACAAATTATAAATTTATTGGTTTGAGTGCATTCAACCCAACATTTGTATCATCTGACATTTTCCAGATCAATGGTTGAGCCTAGGCAGCATCTTGTTCGCACCTTTGGCATACTTTCGGTTGGATTGAGTGATTTGGAGAGAAAAAAAAAGAAAAAAAAAGAAAAAATCAATCTCTCTCATGTTTGGATTACTAAACATGAGAGAAATGGAGAGAAATTGATTTCTCTCATAACTCACTTTTTGAATCTCTCCAAAATTGGAGAGATTGGGGGAGAAAAAAAATGAGAAGATTACTAATTTTGTATATTACCAAAATTGCCCATCTACCTACAAAAGAAATAAAAACATAAAATGTTATTTTGGTAATATAATTGTAAGAGTTTCTTTTCTTTTCTTTATGCAGTCTATCCAAACAAGATTGGAGAGAAATCACTACCTTTTCATTTCATTTCTTTTCTTTTCTTTCCAACTTAACCAAACAAAAGGATGAGAAATCACAATCATTTTTTCTTTTCTTTTCTCTCCTAAATATCCAAACATTAGAGAGTGCAGCCTGCTATCTCTGTTGCCTTCAGACGTTTGAGAAGACTTGTGACCATTATGATTTAAAGACATGGAGCATCCCATATAATCGATGGTCTAGGCATTGAGAACTAGACGCCCCTCCTATATGATGAGATGATTTTATGGACATCGCCTCTAATAGAAACAAATTGATGGTCAATAACACTTTCAATATCTTCATTCAACGGTGGGGATGTCGGGCATCAAGTGATGATAGAATCATGAAAATTTATTTAATGAAGACATTGCTTATGTCTATAACCTCCACCTGCACCAAGTCATGGATATCGGATTGGCAAATTTCAGAGAGAAGTTTGTATAGACCTATGCTCTTAAATCGAATTTGCTTTTACCAAGTTTCTTTTAATCTTTCTATTGAAGTCAACATGTTCTTTATCACCACATGTTGCTAATTGTAATATTTTGTCGAAGTAAGTTATGTATATGCTTTGCAAAAGCATTAGCTTTGATAGTAGGGTGTGCTTTAACCATTAAAAGAACCAATTAAATTAAATTTCTAAGTAAAACTATCACACACAAAGTAGACCTATTTGAGAAATATCAGTGAGGCAGTGAACGGATCTCTGAAACTGTGATTAATACCAAACCAAACTAAACCAAATCAAGCCTTAAGTCTCATCAAATGGAGTCGGTTACATGAATCATTCTTCTCCACACGGCTCTATCAAAAGCCATTTCGTTAGTCAAATTAAGTAGATCCATATCTCTATTTACAACGCTAGCCAACGTTAATCTAGGCCTATCCTGTCCCCTAACACTCCCATCTACTGTTACAGCATCGCATTTTTTTACTATTGCCTATTGAGCTCCGTTAAATGTTACCAAACCATCTCAATCGATTCTCGCTCAATTTATCTTTTATCGGTTCTACTCCTACTCATTTCCGAATACACTCATTCTTAATTCTATCTTGTCTAGCCTTGCCACACATTCACCTTAGCATCCTCATCTCAGCCACACTCATCTTATCTACATGTTGTTTTTTGGTTGTCCAACTGTGATTAATGACTTTGTTTAATTGTTGATATATGGACAGAAAAGGAAAGTGCAGCGTTGTATGGAACAAAAGTAACTCGCAAATTTTGCATAGCATTCTTAAAAATGATTTTGGGCAATGAATGAAAAAAAAAAGAAAAAGAGCCTTTAGGGAAGATTTTAGATTTTGCCCTCATTGGGTAAATTACATTGACACCGCTCACATTTTAGAAATTACAATCCCCTCCCTAAGGTTTAAAGTAGCATTACCAATTGTCCTCTCGATTAATATTAGTTGGAAAAAAATTAATCGAAAAAAAAAATTAATTGAAAATTTTTTCTGTTAGTAAAATTTTTAAATTTTTGTTTAAAAACTAACGTAAGTTCATTTTTTGAATTTACGTTTTTTCCTCAAATTTACAAACTGAGACAACCATTTATAAACAAAAAAAATTATCAAACAAGTTTTTATAACAGTTTTTAAAATTTTTGTAATTATAAATTGAAAATTGAAAACGAAATGGTTAACAAATAGGTTTCAGATGGTAAAAATGTCGTAAAATTAACAAATAATTAAATAAGTTACCAACGTAAGAAATGACTTATCAAAAGATTCTTAGGCTATATATGGTTTGAATTTTAGAAAAAAATTTTAAAAATTAAAAATTAATTTGGTTAAGAAATAAGAAATAATTATCATTTTTATATAATTTTTATCTTTCGAGTGGTTAGATAATTATTTTTTATCCTTAAATGATAATTATTTTTTTATTTTTTATTTCTTAACCAAATTAATTTTTAATTTTTAAAAACAATTTCTAAAAATCAAACCATACATAGCCTAAGAATCTTTTAATAAGTCATTTCTTATGTTGGTAACTTACTTAATTATTTGTTAATTTTACGATATTTTTACCATATGAAGCCTGTTTGGTAATCATTTCGTTTTTAGTTTTCAATTTGTATTTACAAAAATTTTAAAAACTGTCATAAAAACTTATTTAATAATTTTTTTTGTTTATAAATAGTTTTCTCAGTTTGTAAATTTGAGGAAAAAATGTAAATTCAAAAATGAGTTTACGTTGGTTTTTAAACAAAAATTTAAAAATTTTATTAACAAATTTTTTTTCAATTAATTTTTTTTTCCAATTAAATTTTTTTTTCAATGAATAATTTTTCAACTAATACTAACTGAGGGGGCAATTGGTAATGTTACTTTAAACCTTAGGGAGGGGATTGTAATTTCTAAAATGTGACGGGTGTCAATGTAATTTACCCAATGAGGGCAAAATTAGTATTTAAAAAAATTAAATTGCTGAGGGGGGAATTTGTAATGAAATTTTAAACCTTAGGGGAGAGATGTAATTTCCAAAAGGTGAGGGGGGAAACTGTAATAAATCTAAACTTCAAGGGTGTCAGTGTAATTTACTCTTTAGGATAAGATCCACAACATGTCTCTTTCAATATTTGAACCTTGCACCTTTCTTTTTGTACTGGGTCACATTAGATGTTTGAATCTTATGACCAAGTGTGGTGTACCTCCAATACAAAGAAGAGAAGATCACAACTTGGTGACTGCTTTTTTGATCTAACATCTTCCTTCTCTTGTTTTTATACTTTCTGCAGTATTCAAATTTGCAGGGGTTGTACCTGCGGTAACAGTTAAATATAGCCAATTTTGGACACAGTTATGTTCAATTGATATGCAATTATAATAAATGTATAGATGTTTGAAAGTACTTTAGAAATACACTAGAAAGTCAAATGGCTTAGAAGTTTACACAGTGATGGAGCAATTGCATGAAATTTTATTTATTTTAAAAAAACATCCTTATGGGATGGAGTTTTCCATGGTCATAAAAAAGACTGAAAAAGGCATGGTTGGTATGCAATGTGATTGACATGGGAATAAATATTGTCTTTTGGTTTTAATTCTTTGGACTGTAATAATTAATCCACATTCATCTATCAATTTAGAATATTTGAGTGCAAAAGCAGGTCTTCTTTTGGGAAATTAGGTGTGAAAACAGTTGGACGACATATTTGTTTATTACAGCAGAACAAATAAAATGTCGGATGCTTCTTTTTGTTCCAGGCTTCCTTAACTCCTTTGACTTCTGCCACTGAGCCATGGGTCTAATGCCTTTCTCTCGCTAACTCTTGACTTTAGATGGTCCTTCTGAGGAATTTAAAGAATTCTATTTACTGAGTGGTTTTAGCTATGTTTAGCTGTAGAATTTATTTGCCAATTGAAGAATTTGGAAAGGGTTGTCAGCTTTTAGTTGAAAATGAGAAGGGAAATGTAATGCATGTAGATTTGTGAGATTAGCTTATATGTGGTGTGCTTTTAAACTCTTTCTTTTTTGGGCTAAGATGTAATACAATGGGAAGCAGGAATTTTGATTCATTCATCCGGTGCCTATGTGAAACTAATGCGAACCTCATACATACAAGGTCCTCATATTGATAAATTTGCAGAGAGGGGGGAACTCAATTTTTTTGAAATATGTTGTTGTTCAATTGGTGTTTCATTTTCTTTTCTTTTCTTTTCTTTTAGAACTCTCTCTCTGTACTCTTTTAGTAGGCACATTCCATATTTTGCAGAGTTGACACTTCCATTCCATTTTCCTCTTTAAATAGCCATGGACGGAATGCTTCAATATGTTACTTGAACATGGGCTATGGTATAATATTTATTTCAAGTTATTTGTTTTAGCTTTGTTTTGGACTTTTCACTCCACATGTTGGATCCTTCTGAAGCATGATCAATATTAGTCATGTGAAGGAATTTCTGACAATAGTGTTTATTCTTTTAGACTTCTGATAGGCCAGCCAATCTCTGCCTATTGGTAGAGATGAATTGTTTTGTAAATATCTATCATACCATATGTGTGTTTAACCCCCTTTTTTGGTGTTTCTATTCTAATTGGTTTGGAACTTTAACTGCAGATGAAGATGAGTAGAACTTGGGCGGTGTGGATTGAAGCATCTTAAGACTTGGTGTTCATTGGTTGTAGACTCTCATTTGCTTAATCTACTGTTCTTTGTTTCTGAAGTTGTTAGAATCTCGCTGCTCTCTGCTGGCATTTTGTTTCTCATAAGCTCTGTGATTTGTTCATGCTGTGAATTGGATTGTCTTCAATAATTGCAAGCTTTGAAAGTATATGCATGCTAGTTTTCATCGCTTTATCGGTGATATGAAAGATGGTGACAAAGTAATTTGATATAATTAAGCTTGACAACCCTTGGATACAATATTTAATATTTCTTTATCGGCCCCAAGAAGTTTTGTTGATGCAAGGAAGGTCTCTCGATTAATAAACGGTGGTGCTATGTTCACCAATTGGTCTACCAATTAGTGTACCAATATATTTTATAATATTATTACTTAAAAATTATAACACCACCCATTATACAAATTACAAACACCCAAAATTTTTAAAATGATGCCACATCATCTGTTAGTACACTAATTGGTATACCAATTGGTGCATATAGAATTATTCATTACCAATTGATGCATATAGCATTATTCATTAATAAATAATGTTAAAAATTCCCTTCTTAGTTAAATTTGCGCCTATTGATTACTAGAATAGGATTAGCAAACTTGGGTCATGTTAGAGCTTCTCCAATAGCATGAAAACTCAAGACTGAGCTCTCCAATGGCTAGCTAAAAGCCTTGACAAATTTTAGTTTTGCTAAACCTTGTACTAAATTTGGCTCAAAATTGGACCCGCTAATATGCTTAGAGAGTGTTGAGAATGGTGAAAAGCTCTTTTGCTGTAGTCTGAGTTTGAGTTGAGGCTTGAATTTCTCTTGCAATGATTGTTTTTTTGGTGTTTATTTGGGCAATCTGATCCTAACCCCAATTCATCAAGTTCATGGAAATGGGATTAGGCAAACTAATTCGGATTCGGGTTCAGGTTCAGACTCAGGTCGCACTTGGCCAAATGTCTTTGATTTTCGAACCAGGCTTGAACATACCTTCAACCCGACCAAACCTGTGGGCTGCACCCTATTTTTATAGTTGGTGAGACTGAATTACAAATATTAGGTATCGTCTTTAAGAATTTCCTAAACGAAACCAGAGCATAAAAGACTACCCTATTTGATTATATATAGGGTCTCATTCTCTCACCTCAGGAGAATAATTTTAATTTTTCAGCCTAGTAGTGGGCAAAACAGAGAGGGCTCAGAAGAACAATTTGCAAACCTCTCAATGAATAACCATGCCTCCCAAAAGCCTCATAAAGCTAGGTGAGTATTGTTCTATTTTCAGCATTTTTCATTATGTCATTGGTTGGGAGCACCATGTGAACAATGCTATATAGTACTCTAGCATTACCTTGTAGGTAGAAAGTCTTGGAGAAGCAATAATGTTGGGATTAAAATTATTTGCCAAAAATGTAGGAAACGAAGAGATGGTTTTTGCTGGCTGTTTCTCTTTAATCATATGATAATACTGGATTTTGATTTCCAAATGCTAATCTGATTTCATTAACTATGCATATGGCTCTGGACTCATCTTCTCGGAATACAACATCCTATCGTTAAATACATGGAGGAGGAGATTGCAAACTTGCCGCAATGATGGTCTCTCCGCAGGGGCAGTTTTTGTACACTGCAGTGCTATTTCAAGAACTTGCAGTGCAGCACATTCTTCATTATGTATCATTGGCTTTAATGCCGGATCTATCAGCTCTTCCCGGGCAGGTCCTTGCATTTCAAGGTGTGTCTCAACCCATCTTACCATATCGATGTCTGTTCCAAAACTCCCATCAGTTGGCATTCTTCCACTCACAAGCACCATCAATACAATACCCATGCTGTAAACATCGCTCTTTTCTGTTGCCTTCAACGAATAGGCATACTCTGCAAACAAACCACACCATCTGTTAGAACCATCAACTATCAAAAATGGAGAAGGAAATGGTTCAAGGCAGAAATCGGTTTCGTTACCTGGAGCAATGTAGCCATAAGAGCCGGCAAACCATGAGTTTGATTCAGTATTTACCGTGTCGTAATTCTCAACGACTGCTTTTGCCAACCCAAAATCCCCCAAATGCGCCTCCATATTGGAGTCGAGCAATACATTGCTGGGCTTAATGTCTCTGTGAATGATCTTAGGCACACAGTCATGGTGGAGGTACTCCACTCCCTGAGCTAGTCCCACCGCTATTCTCAGCCTCGCTTCCCAGTCAAGGTTCTTCTTCTTCTTGCTATTCACCGGTTGCTGGTGCAGCCAATCCCATACACTCCCGTTTTCCATGTACTCGTATATTAATAGATTGGAGCCCGAACCTTTGTCGCTGCAATATCCCAATAGCTTTACCAGATGCCTGTGCTTTATCCTCCCGAGTGTCTTAACTTCTCTCGCAAAGCTTTTTTCGAGCATGAGATCATCTTTCCTACGTATCTTCTTAACTGCCACAGTTTCTCCGGTGAGTAACTCAGCTTTGTATATTGTTCCAGACCCTCCTGACCCAATTATGAAGTTATCACTCAGATTGTTTGTAGCCCCCATAATGTCTTCCCATTTGAAATCTCGCTTGACAGTGCCGTTACGAAAGAATGGGTTTTTCTGTGCGTGGGATGAACTGGAAGAGAAACCACAGTTCACTTCACTGGTTCTCCTAAACGATTCTCGCTTGCGCTTGAAGAACAGGGCAACTCCAATTATCAGCAGAACAATTGCAGCTACAGTTGAAATAGCTGAAATTGCAATCACTGCTGATTCACTTAGGTTGGACTGTTGATTTCTGTCTTCTAAGTTTTTGCAGCGGACAAGAGGAGATCCACAGAGATGCAAGTTTCCTGCAAATGCCTCGGCTGGCCAGTGTGAGAATTTCTTGTCTAGCTTGCCTTGAAGATCATTGTAGGAAAGGTTGAGGTTGCCCAAACTGCTCATATCACTGACTTGTGGAGGGACTTCCCCAACAAGTCGATTGTGGGATAGGTCAAGCGCTTCGAGTTTGGACAGTGTTCCAATAGAAGATGGGATTTGGCCTGTGAGATTGTTGTTACTGAGGTCTAGAATGCTTTGAAGATTCTGGAGTTGTCCGAGCTCAATGGGTATTTCACCACCAAAATTGTTCCCGGAGAGTCTAAGTTCATAAAGCTTGCTTAACTCACCTATGGCTGGAGGAATGGGGCCAGAGAATTGGTTATGATCGAGGTTGAGGACATTGAGAGACGCTAGTTTACCAATTTCAAGAGGGAGAGTTCCATTGAGTGAATTCTCATCAAGAGAAAGCACAAGAATATTGGTGGAATTGAACAGCTCAGGGGAAAGAGGCCCGGAAAATTGGTTCGAGGAGAGCTTGAGCTCGCCCAACTGAGGCAAACTTCCTAGCCACAATGGAATTAAACCCGAGAGAAAATTCTTGTTGAGATCAATGTGGGTCAGATTCTTGCACAATGAAAGGGAAGCGGGTATTGATCCAGTGAGTGAATTGCTAGAGAGATCTAATAGATATAGTTCTCGGATTTCTCCCAATGTCCACGGAATTTCCCCGGTGAACTCGTTGTTTCCTAATCGCAGCCTTTCAAGAGAAGTTGAATATCCCAACCGGGGGGGAATTTCATGATCAAATCCATTGTTTGTGACATCAAAAGAAAGAAAAGATCGAGAGCTACACAACGGAGCTATACTACCATTGAATCTGTTGTTGGAGAAATTTATTCTTGTCAAGTTTGCAACATCTGCAAGTTCAATGGGAAGATTACCTTCCAAAGAATTGTTGTAAACCATGAGCTGTTCCAGAGCTGTGAGGTACCCGAATGTGGCAGGAAGGCCACTGGAGAGACGGTTATCTGCCAAGTCCAGGATGGTTAGTTGATGACAGTTACCCAAAGTGGTGGGAATTTCACCCGAGAGATCATTTTCTCGGAGATCGAGAAGATTCAATTCTTGCAGCATTCCTATGGTGATTGGAATTCTTCCTGAGAAATGATTTCCGTAGAAATCGATCATTTTCAAGCTCGAGCAGTTACCGATCTCTATGGGAATTTCACCTGAGAATTGATTTTCATAGATATACAGAGTCTGGAGCTTCCCCAGCATTCCAATCTCGTTTGGCAGATTTCCATTCAAGTTGTTGTGATACAGAGCCAGTGTCTGCAGATTGCTGAGGTTTGCTATGGATGGAGAGATTGAACCAAACAGGGTGTTATTGTTGAGCAAGAGATCTGTTAAGCCAACCAGCTCATAAATCTCCACTGGTATTGACCCATTGAGTGTGTTATTGGACAAATCAAGCTGCAACAGTGACTGGCACTCCCTCAATTCCACCGGAATTTGCCCGGAAAGTTGATTTTCTGAGAGAATCAAGTGTTGCAAATTGGTTGTGTTTGAGCATACATTCCTCGGTATGACACCCGAAAGATTGTTGCTTGACAAAACCATGTATACAAGCTGTTCCATATAGCCCAACTCAGCCGGAATTTCACCGGAGAGCTTGTTCGCCGACAAATCAAGATTCTGAAGATTACCCAATTTCCCAAATGACATTGGAATTGGACCTTCCAGCTGATTGCCGAGAAAATTCAGATAAACGAGTTCACTCAGTTCACCAAGCTGGCCTGGAATCTCCCCAGAGAGAGAATTGTTGGCGAGGTTGAGAAGTTGGAGATTCTGGAGCCGACCCAATTCCTCCGGGATTGATCCATTGAGACTGTTGACTGCAACGGTGAACACAACAAGGCTTGAACAGTTCCCGAGCTCCACCGGAAGCGGACCCTGTATTTGATTTTGCTGTAAAATCAAATTCTGAAGTTGCTCAAGTTGTCCGAGCTCTGGCGGAATTGGACCGATGAGATTGCACGAGGCTAATCCAAGAGTGACCAAATTGACAAGACCACCAAACGAGGCGGGAATTGGACCGGTGAGGCCATTGTCGCCGATTCGGAGGACTTGTAAAGCTGTAAGCGAGCCAAGTTGAGTGGGGATAGGACCAGAGAGTTGGTTAGAAAAGAGAAGCAAAGATAGCAAAGACGAAAGGTTAGAGAGGGTAGGTGGAATGGGACCCGAAAGCTGATTAGAAGAAAGATCAAGGTGGAGCAGGTCAGTTAGACGGCCGAGTGCAGGTGAGATCGACCCACCGAGTGACGAGTCGGACAGGTTTAGACCCACCACTCGGACTGAGCCATCAACCGAGTTTGTGTTTGTGTTTGTTTCGCAGGAAACACCTTTCCATGAACAGATACTTGGGTTGGCCTCAGACCAGTCTGCAAGTACATTTTGTGGGTCTTCCACAAACGACTCTCTCACCTCCAAAAGCAACCTTAGAGTTGAGTCTGAGTTTGAATCCGAGTTCGAGACATACCCACATGAAAGAACAATAAGGAGTGGTACAAGAACTGAGATAACTAGCTTTGGCATGGTCATTATGAGAGAGAAAGCTGAAACAAGAATTGGATTGAGGGTTGTGTGTAGCGAAAATGTTCTGATAGATTCTTATGAAGAAGAAGCTCTATGAACCCATTGAATTGGTGATTGTATCGTTCATCTAGTGATGAAGATTTTGCATGGAAATGGAGAGTTGGTGATTTTGTGGGCATTTATGAGACAATTGATGCTGCTATCTTAATCTGATGGTGGTTGTGATGCTAGGTGGAGGTGGTGGTGGCGGTCTTGGGTGGCGAGAAGACGCGTGGATTGAGCCAGTGCATGGAGATATGGTTATTATGTGGAAGAGATAAAGAGAAGAGTGGCGTATAGAGTATGAGAGAGAGCCACTCTGTAAATCACAAGATATGGTATTAATGATCACCGAGCATCTGTTCCATTGAGAGAGAGAGAGAGAGAGAGAGAGAGAGAGATGGCAGTCTTAAATGGTGGGATAAGTGAATAGTTGGAGACAGCGGAGAGAGTTAATGAAGGAATCAGGGACAACGGTCAACAAGCGGATAGAGCCCAAAAAGTAGAGGCGGGCTTCGCCCATGTCCGTGATCAGATTGAAGGGTACTGTTAGGTTCGTGAGGGTTTACCACAGGTTTTGTTTTAATAATTTGAACCGTTCAATATATAGAACTCGTCGAATTTTATATGCCTGTAAAAAATCACGTTAATCGGATATTGATAATTACGTGATTAAATCAATTTTGTATAAAAAAAATATACAGTGAAAAAATAAACGGCTAATAGAAATCTGATCTGATGAGATAGCTATTGATATCCGATTAATGTGATTTTTTATACATATATAGTACTTGACGAGTTTTACACATTGAACAGTTCAGATTATCGAAATGGAAATCCGTGTTGGCCCCCCACGGGTTCAACAATATCATCTAATCTGATCATGAACTGAAGGGAAGCTCAGCCCCAAAAAATAAAGGATTGGTTTATCTTTATATTTGGTGGTTAAGAACTTGAGGGGTCTCTTGCGCTCATTACGGTCCCGTTGGAAAATTTTGTAATGTCGTTAATATATATCATTTATAAAAAATATAATTGAATTCAATAATCGTAATATTTTTATTTTATTATTATTATTTTTTTTAAAAAAATAGATGACAAATAATGTTTGAAAATAGACCATTCATTTTTTTATAGACAAATATATTTTTTTTAAAACTCTACTGATGCGATATTTTTCCATAAAATATGACAAGAAAAGATAATATGTGTAATATTATTGTTGAGAGAAAAGATTGCAAAATTCTCTATTCTCTATTTTCTATCTTTAATTTTTTTTTTTGTTCTTGTATTTCAATGTATTTTTATTACTATCAAATTATGTTTCGAGATTTGTGGGACTAATTATTGAAAGTTTATTAGAAGAGGAAAAAATATATTGAGTGTAAGGGTGACATCATTTACGTGGTGCTACCGGTCAATAAAAAGTCACAAATGAGATTAAGTGGAAAGTCTTGTATTTTACTAACTCAACAATGTTATGATTCTTATTGCAAATTAAAATTGCTTATTGAATGATAATATCGTCATATATGATATTACTGTTACTTTCATTATTTATTTAAGGATAGAGTTGGAAATTTGGACACGAAATCTTTAATCGGGTATGATAAATGGGAGCAAGGATTCTCTATATTCAAAATTTTATTTATTTATTTATTTATGTTTTTTTAGCACTCAATTTACTTTTAATTGTTTAATATATTAAAAAAAATTTAAATCATAAAAATTTTGAGATAGGATTGTATGACTGAAACTGGAGACAAGGGATTACATAGGAGTGGTTGAATTGTGCCATTGTTGGTTTGCTTGTTTTTGGGTGTATTAGCTCAAAAATGACTTAAAAATCCCTAATAAGAAAGTGATCGGTTGGAATTCCCATTTTTTGCTCAACTTTTGAAATTGAAAATTGTATTTTGAATTTGAAGAAGAGAGAAGCCTTTGTAAAGTCAACCGGTCCCCCCACACCCCCTACGTATGCAAACGACCTTCCTACTACTAAAAAAATGAATATATAATGTTGTCAAGTTCATAAGTTATATGTATAGTATTTGTATATTGTGATTGTAATTGTAATTGGATTGAGCTACCAAATCTTGATGTCCTGTTGTGGCCTCTCTGTTGCCCTACTACTCCATAACCCAAATGACATGCCTTTCAGCTTTGTCACTCAATTATGTGAATTGTGACTTGTGATATTGTTTATACTCTTTCCTTTGTTCTCCACAAATTAGTCCAACCTAATTATTTAGATAAATTTTTTCATTAAGTCTACCAACATTGAACCATCCATAAAACAATCATATATTTATATTACGTTAATACATATCATTGATGCACGTGGTGTTGTACAAATTGTGTAATTAAATAAAAATAAATAGATTCACATTTAATAAATTAAATTACAAAACATGAAATCATGGGACTAAATTATACAACTCGATGAACAGAAATACTCAACAAAATAAAATGGTAAAAGAAAGCAAACCGAAACCTTTGTGATACCACAATCTCCTTAAAACAGATTTGCCGTTTCACCATGGGTGCTGGAGATATTTCGGCATTTGTCTCTCAGAATACAACGGTATAAACCCACTAACGAAAAAGCACCTTATGTTTAGCTTCGACGAACGAACAATGGTAGCACTGTCTTACAATGGAAGAAGAATATAGGAGCAGACCAACCGTATAGTATGGAAGCCAAAAATTCTATGTAGAAACCAAGAGAGATGGCCTTCGTTTATACACAATTTGGGAGAGAGGAGGAGCCTTCTAGCCATGAAGGCTGGCAACAGATGCAGCCAATTACTCTTGTAAAATTGATAGAGTAATGCACAAAATTGATGGGGAATAAGTGTGTGAGTTACACACTTTATGTACACATGTGTGTATACTTGCAGACACCAAACAGATCTCGCCCCAAAAGATTAGGTTGATGGGCCACCAATCCGGCCCAACCCAAACCTAACCCAAGCCTCAAGCCCAAGTCCCAAGATCCATAACCCACGAATCACGGGCCCGGCCCGATTCAGGCGAGCGTCGCGTGCATGTGTGGCAATTTTTGCATTACCAACTTAGACCATAATTTTGGCACAAGCCCATTCTTGAAACATCCATAACTTCCTTCCTTTGAAAAATTTGGATGCCCCAAAGGGCTCATGTCCTAATCAAAATCTTTAGGTTTAAATACCTATCAATGTTTTCATCTACAATAAATGTGGGATTTGTAGTTATACACAATTCTCAATATCTTATTCATGAGGCTAATTTTATGAGACAATTTCTCATTTAATTTTTAATAGTTTTCTGTCATTCTTTTTGTAATGTAAAGATCTTGTTACAAAGAATCTAAACTCATTTAATCTCACTTCAACCAATGGTTGAAACCTACTTTAATTTCATATTAAAGTCACTATAAAACTATTTTTTCTAACAATCCCTCACATGAATAAAAATTGATCGAATAAAGAAAACGAACAACGTTTACAACAAAGATTCGGAGAGAGAGCACACAGACTAACCCTGGATTAGATAAAGTTGTTGTCGGCCTTGAACTTTTCGTAGCGAAAGCCTATTGGATTTACTAGCTGACCAATGAACTAAGACAAGAGACCTCACACATGAGTTAGTCCAACCATTCTTTTTCTAATTGGTGTGTCTGGTATGGCCCTAGAATACTAGCCTGGTTCAGTAAGTGTTTTTAAAGAATTCAGCCTTAGCAATTCTTAAAAAAGCAGCTCCACTTCGCACTCACATGGGTGACCTTTATAAGGTATCTCATTATACCACAGTTAATTCTTCATCTCACTTAGGTCATTAAAAGTATTAGCTTAACCTTCTACCCCTACATGGTACCATTGTATAAAGAAATGTACAAGAGGATTTATCTCTTTAGTGACTCACCCGTTACACGCAGTTAAGTTGTCCTTTTTAACAGAAATTGAGATTCTTTTTCATTAACTTTCAATTAAAGTCTTATAGATATTTATACTCAACAATTACTAATTGATCCTGTTACACCAACACATCTAACTAACTCCACTTGCATAGCCATATCTATTTTTGCTAACTGATCTTGGTCCAAGTGGTCTAACATAACTGCCTTGCACATGCTTAACCTATGGCTGTGATGGTGACTTGAGCTGTGGCTTGGATTATCATCCCCTCTCAAACCAATGGGGCTAGGAAGCACTATTAGTTTGTCTTTAAGATAGTGAAAACGACAAGAGGATAAAGGCTTAGTAAAAATGTTAGCAACTTGATCAGCCGTAGGAATATAAGATAGAGTAATTTGTTTAGAAGAAACCCGCTTGCGAATAAAATGACAATCGATTTCGATATGTTTATAATGGGCATGAAAAACTGGGATTTGAAGCCAAAGCCATAGCAAAGACATTGTCACACCAACAAACAAGAGGAGAAGGACAAGAAATGGACAATTCTTTGAGCAGCTGCTGAAGCCAACATAACTCAACAACAGTATGGGCCATGGACCTGTACTCTGATTTAGTAGAGGACCGAGATACAATAGCCTATTTTCTAGCAGACCAGGAGATAAGATTGGGACCAAGAAAAACCCAAAACCCAAATGTAGATCTGTAATCCACACAATCACCAGCTGTGGCTTGCTTTTCGTGCTCCTTTCGGATACGATTAGCCCTATAATTCGGACTCCCGTGGTTCTGAATCTGATTTTAGAAGTGCAATGTGAAATAGAGAAACACAAATGAGTTCAAATCTGGTAAATCTTTTGAAAAATCGATGTTTGAATCAAATGCAAAAAATGAACTGCTTTGCCAGATTACAGAGTCGCTACCTAAATATTTTTAAAAAATTTAGAAAACCCGTGACTCGTGCCAAAGGCCACTTATCCGTCATCACCAAAGTGTCTTGGCTCGGGAACTTAGGTATGAGAGGAGAAGATCATGAATTGGGCATCCCTCTCACCCGATCAAAGATCG